TAACCTGAGCTCACGCCGCTGGAATTCCCCGCTGTGCCTGGGAGAGGCTCCTCGCCTCCAATCGCTTCCAGATGCTGTTCCTGTTTCGACTCTTCCCCTCGCAAAATGTCTCCCCCAGCTCGCCGGCAGCCTCGCCGAAGTTTTCCCGGCCGGATTCGAGATCCTGATATCCGGCCGGGCTGACTCAGCCAAGCCTCAATTTTTTTAACCAGAGAGTAATGCCACTGGCGAGAGGTTACAACTCACCCTGTGGCCTTGCACAAGCTGGAGCTCCGGGTCAGATCCTGTGTCAGGTTTTGAGCCGCTTGCTACATTTCTATCAGGTGGTTTTTTAATTTCCTTTAAAAAAAAAAAAATTATATATATATATATATATATGACTTGGGCTGGAGTTTGGGGCTCGCGGTCCCTGCCGCATCCCCTGCCTCTGCTGTTGACTGGGTAGAGCTTCCCTGAGCCCCAAAATGGGGGGAAACTGAGGCAGGAAAGCACAGAGCAAGAGCTGAGGATGCTTTAACACTGCAAACCTGCTGCTCTGGGGCTTTGCTGATGCTGTATGCACTCTGCCAGCCGAGCATCCCCACGGTGGGTAATAAACCACCCCCGTCTGGGTATTAAAACACCATCCTGGCAGCTCCGTGGCCGTCGGGCTTGTCCAACACCCCCCCCCCCCCGTGTGGGGTTCGTGGGATGGGATTTTACAGCACGAGGATGGATCCGGACCCGCCTGGGTTGGGAATGGAGGAGAGTGCTGGGACATCATGGGGAAAAATGGGGTGGAAAGTGAGAAATAAGGGGAAGAAGGACCGAAGGAGGACCGGAGTGTGGGATGGGGGGGGAGGGTGTCAAAAACTAAGGGGAGCGAAGGGCTTTAGGGGTTAAATGCGATGCTGCCTTCCCAGTGCTGGGTTAAAGTGGAGAACAGGGCGTCAGGAACCGCGCCAAGCGCTGGGAAGTCCTCTGGTCCCTCCCTGTACAATAACCAGTGCCGCTTCAAAACAAAAAATAGAAAGGAAAAAAAAAAAAAATCGCAAAGAACCGTCTGTTCATGCACATACGGGCTCAACAGGTTTCCCTCCCAGGCAGGGTCTGGGTAGCGAGCTCTCGTTTTTGGGGTGGGGGGAGCCGAGGGTGGCCAAGAGCCCGGCTTTTGTTGCTGTTTATGCAACAAAAAAATATGCGATTTGTCCTTAAAAATATTACCCCAGGCTCTTTTTCCGCTGCCTTTTTTTTATCGTGGGGCGATGGTAGCCCCCTTCCAGCTTTTGGTGCAGGCGGAGCGGGAAGGTACAGGCAGCTCCTGATGAAGGGCTGGAGTTGTTACAGGGGCTTTTGCAATAAAAATATAGGTGAACGCAAGGGTTTGGTGCCCCAGCACTGTGTTAGGGGAGGGGGAGCATAAAACCTGCCCCAACGCCTGGTGACACTGCCGAGCCCCTGCATCCCCCAGCAAATTCCGCTTTAGCATCCTTATGGTTCTTCAGCATCTGCTGTGGAGCTGGGGCTTCCCAGGCCCCTTTGCTACCTAATTAACAAAGTCGCTGCTTAATTCTGACTACATTTACAAGTTAAATTGACAGATTATCTGTATTATGCAAACGCATATTTAAGTCTTAATTATTTATTTGCCTGGCTCAATGTATGGGGTGTCTGTAAATCAGCAGCTTTAAGCCTGGGAATGCTCTTCTCTTGGAAGCACAGAATTTTGCTAAGAAATAAACCCCAAATAGGATTTTTTTTTTTGTCTGATGGGTGATGCTAAACACCCCAGCTTGGAAACAGTGGTGATTTCTCACATCTGTTTTTTCCTTTTAGTTTTTTGGGTTTTTTTTGGGGGGGGGGGATTATCGCAGGAGGCTCGTCCTTAAATAGCGGTCGTTTATTTTTAGGTCGGTCACTGCTTCAGATAATCCAGCTTGGCCGGGTAGCTTTGCTTTTCTTCCCATTCTCAGGGATTTAATAGCAATAGGTTTATTAAATTATGTTTTAAAAATAGAATTTTATTTTTAATAATTTAATAAATTCAACAAATTATTAATTTAATAAAAAAAACAGTTGGGGTGGAGGATGGGGATCCTGCTGGTGGTGGCTATTCCGTGCTCTCCTGGCCAGGGACAATCCACTGGGATGCTGGGGTGAGGATCAGCAGGGAAACGTCTACCGAAAAATCGCATCCCACACCAGAATTACACCTTTGGCTCGGCTGAAGGATGGTTGGGAAGTGGCTGGATTATCTCCCACTAAATACCTGCTGAATGAATAAGCTCCTGGTCCTGGGGCGATAGCGATTGGGGTGACGTGAGGGATGTGCCGGGCTTGGAAACACCTCGCTCATGCCAAGTAGAGATGTTTTCTCCAGAGGAGGAGGAGGAGGAGGATGAGCTCACCTGGATTTTATTCCCCTCCCAGCCTGGTTTTTGCTCTCTCCCCCCTCGGGAGGTAATTTTAACCGAGGGAGACTGGTGCCGGTGATGGAGCGCCGATGGACGGACGGACGGACGGCTGCCTTGCTTCAGGTCTGGCTGGTGGAAGGAGGAGAAATGCCATCTCCATCTTCTCCTCCTCTTTTTTTTAACAGCCCCTGGCGGGGGTGTCTGCTCCTTAATGGAGAAGATGATGGACGGGGGAGGGATTCGGTGGCTCGTCCCTGCCCCACGCGTGTCCCCTCTTGCCTGTGCAAGTCCTGAAAATGCCTGTACCCACTGGGGATGCTCCTGCACCGGGGCTGAGCCCCTCAAAGGACTGATCCTGGCTGGCTTTACTCTTTAATAAGGGAAGGGATGCGGCCGTTGGGTTTTTGTTTTCTTCCGCCCAAAGCCACGAGCATCACGGAAGGGAGACGTTGGGGAGCGAGCACGAGGTGCCTTTTTCCCCCCCTGAAATTTGGAAATAGTTATTTAAACACAGCCTGATAGGCAGGAGGGGAAACTGAGGCAGGCAGCATAGCTGGGAGCCTGGGGAAGAAAAGGAGCAAAATTCAGCTTGTTTGGGTTTTTTTGAGGGCTCTGGGATACGGGACATTCATTTCCTGCCGGGATCAGCTGCCAGATGGGTTGAGCTGCCTGTGGCGAGTGGTGGAGATGGCAGCTCTCAACCTGGCGGATGCCTGAACCGTGATGTTTTTTTTTTTCTGGACCTTGGGCTGGGAACAGCCGATCGCATCGGCTGATGGCGGGGGAAGAAGCTGGAAAACAATCCTGGGGAGACCGGCAGAGATCCGGCTCCTGGCTCTTCCAGTTGAGCTGGAAAGACCAGCTTCAGGCAAGACCTTGGATCCCCATCCAGGGCTGCAGCATCCTCCCGGGAGGATGCTGTGGGGAAGGAGGCATCCCCTTGCCCACCCCCAGGCAGCTCTGAGCATCCTCCTCATCCTCTGTGTGGGCAGGGGCTGATGCTGTGCCATGAAGTGCTTTAGCAGGAGCTCCCTGGGGAGACTTTAACCTTGTTAGCAGATCCTATAATTCATGGCTCTAAATAAAAAGGCTCCTTGTTGGCAGCGATGTTGGATGCTCCGGTGGGTTCAGGGCTGCTGGAAAGACCCTGGTGCAGGAAGGTGAATTTTTTAGGGCACTTGCAAAGTGGCCCCAGGTGCATCTGGTTTGGCTGTTGATTGGGCCAAGCCCTCTGGTTTAATTGCTCCCCTCAGCAAATGGTGGAGGTAGGAGAAAGCAGAGCTGCTTTGGCTGGAGAGGGAAGGTGTGGTGCTGGGATGGAGCCATCCCTTGTCATCCCAGGGCATCTGCAGAAAGCCTAGTCCCTGGGGAGAAGTACCCAGCCTCGATGATAGGAGAAACCATCTCAGAGATGCTCCGTGGTTTCCTTCCCCATGCCTTGCACAGGGACATACCCTCTTTGTTAAAATTAGCGGGGCATTGAGAGGGAAGCATGCCTTGGGGAAGGCTTGCACCAACTTGGCGGCCCCCACCATCTCTTGTCTTTGCTTTTCCTGGCTGGAGGAGGTGGAGAGAGGTAAGGAAACCTGCCCTTCAGAGTTTCCCCTTGGAAGCATCTTCTCTGCCAGGGCTGGAGCACCAGCTGTGGAGAGAACCTTGCTGGTCCTGTCCAGGCCACCCTTCCCCATCTGCTTCACCCTTCCTTGCACCGAACTGGGCTGAGATTGGTCCTCGTGTGGTTTTTTGGGGACAGCCATGACTCTTGCCATCCTCCATCCATTCCACCGGTGCAGGAGGGAAGAACAAAGCTGACTCCTAACTGCTAATCGAGATGGCAATGAACTCACTTCACCTGGCTGGCTCATTTTCCCCCTTCACCCCACCTTGCTGCTCATTAGCTGGGGTAATTAAGCTGGATGCAGAGCAGCTGTCCCTGCAGAGAGGCTCTTTTTTGAGAGGTAGCATAGCAGAAGGGTTTCTGTGTGTGGCAGCTTGTTGGCAGGGTTTTTCCTTTCCCAAATTGTAAGGATATTATAGCACGGGGCGAGGATGTGTGATCTGGGAAGTTTGGGGGGAAGAGGTGCTGAAGATGTGGGATTAAGGAGCATCCTCCGTGGGGGAAGGCAGCAGAGCCATGCAGCATCCCAGGGTGAGCATCCGCCTTTCCCTGGGAAGGTGCATCACCCACTTCCTAAAAATCCGAGTGAGTCACGGAGGGGGATTTCGGTGGGAAAGGCCAAGAGGCGCTGGGGAAACCTGCGGTGAGGTCTGGGCTCTGAACTGCCGCGCCTCCTCCTTAAAAGCAGCTGGAAGCCCAGCCGTGGGTGCTGCCGGTGCCGGAGGAGGTGGGTGGCTTTGCGGGAGCGCAGATATCCTCTGCCACACGTGATGGCTTGTTGGGGCCCTTCTGCTGGTCCCCTGGGGCTGGTTCGCCACTGGTTCTTGGAGCTGCCCCGGCTAGGGATCAGTAGGGATCCGCTGGATCCTCCGCGGGCGGATGGCTGCTGAGTGAATGGTCCCTCGTGTGCTGCCGGTGTGGGTTGCCGTAGCCCTAAGGATGTTCTCCCTTTTCCCTCTGCTAGGGGAAGAGAGGATGGCCTCGTAGATCCCGCCGAGCTCCTGCCTGCTCTGCCTGGACTGAGAGGACGGACCGTAAGTAGCCGTGACCCCCCCCCGCCAGCTTATCGTCGTCCCGACGGGGACCGGCTTTGGCTTCTCCCACTGCCGGGGATGCTGGAAAAGGTCTCCCCGACACAAGCATCCTCCTCCTGGCACGGCTGATGGGATTAATGGAGCATCGAGGCGATGCTGGGGGTGCAAAGTGATGGAGCGGGTTATTTTACGGATATTTTCCGCCGTGGCCGATAACATGGGAGAAAAGAGCAGGGGAGTTGCGCGAGCGTGCCGGCGTAGGGGCAGGGGAGTAAATCCGTCGGGTTTACGCCAGAGGTTTTGGGGCCGGAGGACCAAAGCTCAAGGGTTGGGTTACTTTAGAGGTTATGCTACCCCAAAACTGGCCTGTTTGCCAGCACAAAAGAGGAGGCGTGGAGGAAATGGGAGGGAAACCGCAGGGCTGCCGTAGCGGGGGTTTAAGGTGGTGCTTGGAGCATTGCAAAGGGGATGGCGACTGGGCGGAAGGCTTTTGAGTCCCTAAAAGAGGACCACTGTAGTCAAAAGCCACTGGGGATGGTAGCTGCCTGTGGGATAACTCGGCCCTGGGGCTTGTGATCCCTTCATTTCCCACCCCCTTTCCCCGGAGAGCTGGGCTCAAAGCTGGGCGTTGCTTGGGTTGGGGTTGGAGATGGGCTGGAGCATCTCGATGGTTTAGTTTTTCACCTCCCTGGACCGTTCGCGTCCCTGCTGTGAGGGAGCGGGTGCTGCCTGCGGACGCTTTGCCTGCTGCTCCTGGGGGAGAGGCTGCCTTCCCCCTGCCTGCACCCCCGGCTTGCTGCCTTCCTCTTTCTGCTGCCTTTTTGGGGGGGTTAGACTGAAGCGCAGGCGCAAAGCTGCGTTGCCAAAGCCATTTTCGCTGTTGCCACCTGCATCCTGGGCAGTCCCCGAGAGGATGGAGATGCTGGTGAGCAAACACGGCAACAAGGTGACGATGGTGGCAACCGGGGACCGGCCAGGGCGGGTAGAAGGAGGGGGTGGCCGGATCGATGCCAGGGACTTGGCGATGAAATCCCACGGGTATAAAATCAACACTCGTGGATGCCCACCCTTATCTCGTTAGCGTGGTGTTTTCCTCCCATGGGTGGCTCGGCTCTCCTCAGGCAGCTCGGCTATAACTTCCATGTTGTAGCGAGCCACATCTGGCAAGAAAGAGTTGTATTTTTTTTTTTAAATAGGAAAAGAGCGATTAAACCCGTGTAATATAAATAATAATATATTAACCCGTAATAATGTAGGCTAATGCACAGAGGAGGAGCCCTGTAGCTCCTTTGATTGCATGGCGTTACCCCGGAGGCATGGAATGCTCAGGTATACCCATGCAGCCAGCATTCTGGAGCTGTAGGAAGGGATTTGGGTCCCATCCCTTTGTTTTTCCTGCTGCAAGGATTAAAAAAAAATAGGGGGAGAGGAGAGGATGGCGGCAGTGCTGGCCTGAATCGGGTTTCAGCTCCCGAGCACTTTAAAACTAACGGTGTGTGGAAAGGCAGGAGCAGCCCGGATTTGTTTTGGGAACCTGCTGCCGTGGAAATACTCTTCCTACCTGAGCTTGTTTGCTGTTGCCACCTCTGAAATTGCACCCTCATCACAGGTAAATGTTTTGTTAAGGCTTAGATGCCAACAAGGTGTTGGGTGGTTTTATTTTTTTTCCTTATCCTAGATCTTTGGCCGGGTTATTGAATGTATGCCTAGGGTACCATGGGCTAAGGAACCAGCGCTGCCTCTCCAAACTCCCTGTATGTTAGGGAGTGTTTTGATTGTCTAGAGTTTAATGATGGTGATGATAGAGTTGAGTGTTTATGGGCAAGAATCAGGGGGAAGGCCAACAAGGCAGATACCATGGTGGGAGTCTGTTATAGACCACCCAACCAGGATGAAGAGGCAGATGAAATATTCCATAAGCAGGTGGGAGAAGTCTCACAAGCGCTAGCCCTTCTTCTCTTGGGGGACTTCAACTTGGCAGATGTCTGCTGGAAATACAATATAGCAGAGAGGAAACAGTCTAGGAGGTTCCTGGAGTGTGTGGAAGGCTTCCTGACTTGGAGAGTGAGCCAACAAGGGAAGGCATCCTGCTGGACTGGTTCGTGAACAGAGATGGACTTGTGGGTGATGGGATGGTCGGAGGCTGTCTTGGGCACAGCGGTCACGAGACGATAGTTTTTGATTCTTGGAGAAGTAAGGAGAGGGGTCAGCAGAACTGCTGCCTTCCTGAGGGCAGGCTTTGGCCTGTTTAGGAGCCCATTTGACAGAGTCCCTTGGGAGGCAGTCCTGAAAGGCAAAGGGGTCCAGGAAGGCTGGACATCCTTCAAGAAGGAAATCTCAAAGGCGCCGGAGCCGGCCGTCCCCATGGGCTGAAAGATGAGCCAGCAGGGAAGAAGACTGGACTGGCTGAACAGAGAGTTTTGGCTGGAACTCAGGGGGGGAAAAAGGAGAGTTTCTGACCTTTGGAAGAAGGGGCAAGCCACTCAGGAGGGCTACAAGGATGTCGTGAGGTTATGCAGGGAGAAAATAACAAGGGCCAAGGCCCAACTAGATCTTAATCTGGCTACTGCTGTAAAAGACAATAAAAAATGTTTCTGTAAATACATTAGCAACAAAAGAAGGGTTAAGGAGAATCTCCATCCTTTATTGGACGTGGGGAGAAACATGGTGGTGAAAGATGAGGGAAAAGGCTGAGGGACTTGATGCCTTCTTTGCCTCAGTCTTTAATAGTAAGACCCATTGTTCTCGGGGTACCCAGCCCCCTGAGCTGGAAGACAGGGATGGGGAGCAGAACGAAGCCCCCCATAATCCCAGGGGAAATGGTTAGCGACCTGCTACACCACTTCGACGCACACACACAAGTCTGTGGGGCTGGATGGGATCCACCCAAGGGTACTGAGGGAGCTGGTGGAAATGCTCACCGAGCCACTTCCCATCGTTTATCAGCAGTCCCAGCTATCCGGGGAGGTCCCAGTTGACTGGAGGTAAGCAAATGTGACGCTCATCTACAAGAAGGGCTGGAAGGAGGATTTGGGGAACTACAGACCTGTCAGTCTGACCTCGGTGCTGGGGAAGTAGGATAGGATAAATGTGAGTATTGGCGGCACAGGCTGGCTCTCTGTGCCCTCAACAGGGTGATGGCTGGTGTCGAATGGGATTGATTTTTGTGGTGCTGTGTCCCAATCGCTTCCTGCAGCCCCTGGGCTGCTGCGCTTGCAGGTTGTGCTCTTGTAATCGCTCTGCCCTGCCGTTTTCTGGCAGCATCCCCATCCCACTGCAGCATCCCCATCCCACTGCAGCATCCCTTGGGGGTTCAGATCCAGACCCTGCTGCCTTTTGGGCTTGCAACAGCGATGGTTGCAATCCCGCAAGGTTTTTCTCCCTGCTGTGTGTCTTGCTTTCCTTCCCAGCTTGGAAAAAAAAAAATAAAAAATCCTCAAGCACCTGGAGCTTGCAGCAGCCAGGGCGAGGAAGCTTTGGGATGCCAGGCTGAAGATTTGGGTACCTTTGATGCTCAGCCAAGCCTAGGCAGCACCTTGAGTCGGCCGGATCCTTTCCCCAGAGGATTGCCCCCGGCCGCCTCCCAGGTTGCATTCAGGCTCTGGCACGTGCTGGTTTTGCCGAGGCAGGTTGTGGGCGAGCCGGTGCAGGGGGTAAGCCGGCATCTGCCAGGCTCCTCCGGCAATCCCAGCCCTACCGCGTGGAGAAAACCCGTGGGATGGGGGCTTGGAAGATCCTGGGGCTGTAAACTGCTTCCTTGGGGGTCGATCCTGGTTGTTGTCCTCAAAATGGAGTGCAGGATCTGTCCTGCTGGTCCCCGCAATGCTCCGTGTGCCTTGAAGGCTCAGGAGAGATGGTCCGGCTGGGGTCGAAGGGGTCTGTGCTGTCCTGTCTGTCTGTCTGCCTCCCTACAGTTCCTGCTGCTGGGAGTCAATCCCTAGGGATTGCCGGTGTGACCCTTCCTTGGGTGCGATCCCTTCAAATCCAGCTCTGCTCCAGTTAAAATTAAATGCATGTTTTTTTTTGGGGTGAACTGTTGGAGATGCTCATTTTTCAATGGGCATCCTTCTCACCCGGGGAAGCTGGACCAGGCAGTGGGCGGCTCTGTGCCCCATGGATGTGCGGGATGGGATGGGGTGGCGGGAGCATGGGAGAGGTGTCCTCGCCTTGTGTCACACTTTATTTTCCCAATCCATGGGTTACTGTGGAAACATAAAGGTATAAAGAGCTTTGGCTGTGTGGCTCCTGGTCCATGGATGCTTTGCTGGGATGGCAGTGGGTGGCTGGGATCACCATCCACCCATGCTGGGATGGGGTGGGGGGATCTCTAATCACCCCCCCCCCCACCTCTGCACTTGCTCCATGGCTTTAAATGCGTTTTTTTTAAAATCCCCCCCACCCCTCCCCGAGCGTGGGCTGGGAGCAGCTTGGCCAGTGCCTGCTGCTGCTTTGTGGATTGATGTGACTTAAATCCAGAGCTGCTGGAGCCGTCGAGGGAGACTAGGATGGATGGAGATGTAGGGATGAGCTCCTCCCGGGTCACCCGCGCAGCAGGGGGGTCAGTCCCCATGGTTGTTGCTGGGATTTCCTGGGGGCTTTCCTGGGACATGGCAAAACTGGGAGTCAAAACCCCACTCTGGGTCTGAGGGAGATGGGGAAACTTGGTGAGGGGCTTCGCGGTGAGAAGCCTCTGCAGCATCCTGGGGATGGGGCTTTCCTGTAACAGCGGGCTGGGGAAGGGGAGACCTGGCTGTGAAGACGGGGCGGTGGTGGGGCTTTTAAGTCATTTATGCAGATAATATTCAGCCCCGGGGTGCTTTGGAGGTGTGTTGCTCAGACATCAAAAGAGAGGGGCCTTTTTTGGTTGCTTCTTCCAAGCGTGGGGAGCTGAATCCACCTGGGACTTCCCCCCCCCAGCTCTGGGGCTTGGCGGGGGAGGCAATGCCCTGGACCGAACCCATGGGAGCGGTGGTCGAGGCGTTCCTGCGTCTCTTCTGCCCCTCTGCTCTGCTCTGGTGAGACCCAACCCGCGGTCCTGCGTCCAGCTCTGGGGTCCTCCACACGGGAAAGGCAACCTGATGTAGTTGAAGATGTCCCTGTTCACTGCAGGGGGGTTGGACTGGATGACCTTGAAAGGTCCCTTCCAACCCAAACCATCCTCTGATTCTGCGATCCCTTTCATGAGAGAGGCAAGTGCCGAATCTCACCCCACTGGCCGGTGATGCTGCATTGGGGTACTGGGGGATGCTGCAAGGGACCAGGGATGCTGCAAGGGACCAGGGATGCTGCGGGGACTGGCAGGACCCTTTAGCATTGCTCCGTCCACCAGCTCTGCGTCCCCGGGATGGAAGGAGCTGGCTCAGGGTGCTCGGATCTTTCCGCTTTAAGTAGTCGCTCTGGTTTGGGCTACAGATCTGGTAGCACAAGGCTGGGGGGAGCTTGAATGGATTTCAAAAGCACCTCTGCGGGGAGCAGCCTGGGTGTGCTCTGTTTTCCTCCACATTCCCCAAACGCTTCACTAAACAGCGTTCGTTTTCTTTGGGGATTATTAACTGTGTTTGTCTTAGATAAGTTTTGCATCAGGCCCAGCTTTGTCCATACAAGCCTGGGAAAAGATCATAAAGCCTTCAAAAAAAAAAAAAAAAATTAAAAAAAGCCAGTATGTAAAAGCAAACACCAGGGGGTAAGAGTGGATTTTGATTTTTCCCAGTGTCTTAAGCCGGTGCGAGGGGTGAAGAGCTCTCGGTGGGAAGCTCAGCTGGGTGATTTGGCACCAAAGGAGAGAGCTGGGGGGTGAATTTGGTGCTAAATTTGGGGCCCGATGCCCAGCAGCACCCCAGCCCTGGGCAAATGGGGATGATCAGACCCTCAAGGAGCATTGCCAGCCTCCAGCTGCAGTGGCTGATTTCCTCTAGGGGACTTCTGTGGCCAGTTTTGTTAGGAAAAAATTAACAACAACAACAACAACAACAACAAAACCCCCAAGAAAGCACAAGCTGTTTTTTACTTCCCCTTAATTTTATTTTTTTCAAGCAAATGTAACGTATAAAGGGGCGAGACTCCCCAGCTCCTTGTCCCTGCTTGCTCCGACCCTTGAAGATGCAATCATGTGTTTAATCTTCCCTTTCCTTCCCAAGCCGGGAGGGACTCACAGAGCCGGAAATACCGATGCAGGATGAGAGCCAGGGTGTAAATTGGGAAGGGGGGACGGTTTTGCTTCCCGTTCTTGGTGTCCCCGGGTGATGGCGGGGCTGAGCCTTGGCATGATTCACTGGGAAGGGATTTGATATCCATGTTTTATGGAGGAGAACTGGTGTGGGGGAGACAGATGCTTTCTGAGGGTACCACCTCACCTCTCCCTGTCCCCATTCCTCTGCTTTGCTGTAAAACAGACAGTTTTCTTTGCTTCGTATCCCACCCTGTTGCTTGTAGCATGGTTTAATTGCCCTTCCTGCCCTTTTAATTTCAGGAGCCAGTGATGAGGAGGGGAAGAGCCTGGCTCTCGTGGGACCATCTTTGGTCCCGTTTCTCCTCTTTCTTGATACGTGTTGCCCCAAAAGCTGCTGCTCTTGACGCATTCTTGACTGGGCGAGGACAGGGCAGGTGCCAGGTTCATTAATGGCACTTCGTTAGGCAGGGTGCGGTGCTGAGATGGATGCCCCCAGTCCCCCAACAAGGTGACTAATCCTTTGAGACCAGGATTTCCATTGCCCAGCCCAGGCACGCACCTTTTCTCTTGACTGGGCATTTAACACGTCATCTTCTCCTCTTCCGAGATGTGGCCGGTCCGGAGTGGGGAGCAGCTCGGTTACAGGGTGGCAAAGCCAAACCCAGCTCTGAGCCGGGCTTAGAGTAGGATACATCCCTCGGGAGCAGTTTATCAGGGAGCAAAGTCTCCCGCGTACCCCAAAACTTCTCCTACCTGGTAAGTTAATTTTCCATCCTTGCTGTGTCACAACGGGAGGGGCTGAGCTGGTCCCGGGGTGGCTCCGACCACGGCTCTTTGCTGCCTTATTCCAGGAGCGAGAGGTTTCGGAGGAAGAAAAAAGTCGCCCCGCTTCCCCGGCCGGCGTTTGCGCGCGCATTAAGCTTGCGGCATCCCCCTTTCCCCGGGCCGGGATGGTTGAATCAAAGGTGTTGGAGGTTCCCCAAGTACGTCATGCTCTTTGCTTTGATTCCGCTTGGCTGCTCCTGTCCTTTCTGCCTGGCGCGGTGGTGGCACGTTTGGCTTCATACTTGTGGTGGCTGGTGCCGGTCGGATGCTTGAGCCGGGGCTGGGCTTAAAATCTCCCTCAAGTCATCGCCATGGGCATCGATTTGGGTGCTTCGGGGGTTTTGCAGTTGAAACCCCACCAGGGGCTCGTTTTTTCTCTTTAGCTTATTTTTTTTTTTCCTTTTGAATTTTGGCATTTAATCTGTATAGCCGAGGCTTCTTGGGAACTATGGCTGCTTGCCTGGCTTTATACATTCTGTATAAATCAAACCTTTGGTGGCTGCGGGGCAGAGAAATGTGAATTTAGATCAAAGTAACTCCCTTGGGGACCCCTTGCTCATCCAGAGGTGTGGATGGGGCAAGCAGGGGGGGATGCTTCTTGGGGTTTTTGGGGGATGACTCTGATGCCTTTTAACCTCATCTGATGCCTTTCCCTCTTTTCCTGCTGCAGGTGACCAGCGGCAGCCGCGATGAGAGCTCCGGCCCTCGCCTGATGCCTCTCCTGCTGATAAAAATGATCAACAAGTCTCGTGAGTCCCACAGTGGGGGTGTGGGGGGTGTGGGTCCCATCTCCCTCTTTCCCAGCAGGGATGAGGGTCCTGGGGGATTTACATTTGGAAATTTGGCTTTGGGGTAGCATGCTGCTTTGCTGTGGCTCCAGTTGGGTGATGGAGTATTGGGGCATCATGCGCGAAGTCACGGTGGGGAGGGTGATTTTGGGGTCCTTGATCCTTTGGGCTCAGGCACCCGGTAGCCCTTGGGCTTTGTGATATTAAAATGGGGTGGAGGCACCTGGAAAGAGGGATGTGTTCTCGTGGCCTTTGACACGAGGTGGACAGGAGGAAATGGCCTTTTGGACATGGGACAAAACTAACCTGGCTCCATCACGGAGCCGCTTCTCTCGGGGGAGGTGGGGGGGACATGACTGTGTCAGCCAGGCCCCTGCCACTCCCCGGGTAGAAGGCTTTGCTGGGGATGGCTCTGCAATCCTGGATCTACCAGGACATCCCCAAGGGGCTGCAGGTCCCCAACATCTGACCATCCAGACCCCAGGGTACCGGCTTGACACGGTGTTTTTCTTTTGCCCCCCCACCTCCCCACCTCTGGGCACGCAGGAGGGAAGATACTCGGGGTGCTGGCGCTGTTTCTGGTGATGGTTTGGTACTCGATCTACCGGGAAGACAGGTACATACAGCTGTGAGTGGCTTTTATTAAGGTTTAAAGGATCTCCTGCCCTTTCCCTCGCTCGCATCCTCCCACCCGTCCCGCTCGGAGATGCCGGAGCATCGCCTCGCTGGATCCTGGGGGACTGGGGAGGTGGCAACATCCTCGGCTGCTGCTGGAGGAGCGGGGGGACGCAATACGAGGTTCCCCCTAGACGTGGTGGTGGCGGTCGGGCTCTGAGGGGGTTTTTTTGGCAAATGCCGGTGTTTTTCTGAGCCCGGGGAGGAAGGGAAAACCCCGGTGATGCTGATGGAGACGAGGAAAGCGGAGAACGTGGGGTCTATGAGCAGGGCAAGAGAGACCTCTTCCGATGCAAGGCTGCAAGCCCAGCAAATAAATACCCAAAGCAGAGCTGACCTTAAATCTGGCTGGCAGTATCCCTGGCCCTGTGTGAATCCCACTGTGGTGGTGCCAGAGCCCCCTTTGCCAGGAGGGGAATGCAGAGGAGCAGGCATAATTTTTTTTTTTTTTTTTTTCCTTAACCTCTTCCCTTACAGCTTTTATTTCCCCGTGCAAGAAAACAAGACTATGTGTCCCCTCGGGGAGGTGGAAAAGAAAGCGGCGCAGCTTATCGGGAAGTGAGTATCAGGGTTGGGAGCAAGAAGGGGGGGATGCAGAGCCAGGACCAGCCCCCCCCCGCCTCACTGTGCTGTCCCCCCATCCCGGTCTCACCGGCCCTTTGCTCCTTGGCAGCTACACGAGGGACCACCCGCTCTTCTTGCAGCTGAAGGACTATTTTTGGGTGAAGACGCCATCGCTCTACGAGCTACCCTACGGCACGAAAGGAAGCGGTAAGCCTCGGCAGTGCTTGCCGTAGGTTTCTGTCCGTCCATCTGTCCGTCCTGCTGCCGCTCCCCAGGGCTTTCAGCTTCTCTCTTATTAAAAAACATCTGCAGGTTGACTTTTTTGGAGGACTACTTTTTTTTTTTTTTCCCCCCCCTCCTCCCTAGCAAGTTGTTTGCTTGATTTTTAGACGTTGCAGCACGTATCTACTTGCCCTGGGTGTGTGTGGTCCCTATAAAAGGGTTTAGGGTGAACCAGGCTTTACTAAACCCCAGCCAAGGATTATCTGCCCAGATCTGGGATTAACGGCAGGAGGAGATCTGGCAGAGATGGGGAGGCACCCAGGACGTTGTAGCAGGCAGGAGCTGCCTTGCTCACTTCCTCGCCCTTGCTTTGCAGAAGACGTCCTCCTGCGCTTGCTGTCGATCACCCACTACTCGCTGCCCAAGAGCATCCAGAGGTAACGCCGGGGTGGGTTTGGGGGCTTTTCTTTCTCTTGTCTTCTCTGTCGCTCCGTCTTGGGAGGGGGAAATTTCCACATTGTTGGGCCCAAGATTTGGCAAAATGAACCTCTGCAACCCAGGAATGGTGGACAGAACCTGGGAAGCTTTGCAGAGTGGACAATGCAGGCTTAAACCCCCCCTCGGGGTTTAAAACCACCTTGGTTTAGAGCAGATCTGGTTGAGACGGCGCTTTTCTCTCTCAGCCTGAAGTGCCGGAGGTGCGCAGTGGTGGGCAACGGCCACCGGCTCCGCAACAGCTCCATGGGAGAGACCATCAACACGTACGACATTGTGATCAGGTACGGCCCTGGGGTCTGTCCCGTTGACCTCTCCCCAGTGCCGCCTGTGGATGGAGTTGACGCCTGCCGTGTCCCCGTCCCCCCCCCCCCCCTCCCCTGCCAAGGTTGAACAACGCCCCGGTCCACGGTTACGAGCAGGATGTGGGCTCCAAGACCACCATGCGCCTCTTCTACCCGGAGTCGGCCCACTTCAACCCCAGGACGGAGAACAACCCCGACACGTTGCTGGTGCTGGTGCCCTTCAAACCCATGGACTTCCAGTGGATGGAGGCCATCCTCAATGACAAGAAGAGGGTAAGCATGGCAGGGAACCGGGTCTAACCCTCATCCCACCCCACCCTTGGGGACCTACCTCTCTTATTGGGACACCGCTGGACGTGACTGTCATCCTCTTGCAGGTTCGGAAAGGGTTTTGGAGACAGCCCCCATTGATCTGGGATGCCAACCCGGAGCGAGTGCGCATCCTCAACCCTTATTACATGGAAGTAACTGCTGCTAAACTGCTCAACCTCCCCATGAAGCAACCACGGAAGGTCAAACAGGTAAGGGGTGGGGATGGCTGGTCACCCTGCACCCCCCTGAGGGGTGACATCCTCCCCGCCAGTCCCCCTGGCCGTCCCCGCGCAGCTCGCTGAAGGCCATGGCTTTCTGTATGTCTTCTCCTGCACCCTCTCCCTCCAGAAGCCCACCACGGGGTTGTTGGCCATCACCTTGGCGCTGCACTTCTGTGACCTGGTCCACATCGCAGGCTTTGGCTACCCCGATTCGGCCAACAAGAAGCAGACCATTCACTACTACGAACAGATCACGCTCAAGTCCATGGCAGTAAGTATCCACCCCCACTTTTTGTCCGTTTTACCCCCCCATTTTTCCTCTGGGATGGGGGGGATCGCAGCCCAGGAGGCTGTCCCTACAGGCAGCCCTCGCTCCCCTTCCACGATGGGTGCTGAGGTCCACCTTGGGATGGTCATCGTCCAACTTCTCCCTGTAGCCCCGTGTCTTTGTAGTCACGGCGGAGAGCTGGATCTGCTTTATGTGTGAGCGGAAGGGCTCATGCCTGGGGGGGCTTGGGCAGGGTCACGGCCCTCCTTTTTGGCGGGGGTGGGAGGGCTCCTCGCTTCAGGTGACAATGGTCAACTCAGTGCTGGTGGGGTGGACGGGGTGGAGGTCTGGGAGGGGGGGCAGAAGGAAAATGCTTGGCACCCCCCCGCCTCGTCCCCATCCCGCAGGCGTCGGAGCACAACGTCTCGCACGAGGCGGTGGCCATCAAGCGGATGCTGGAGCTGGGTCTCGTCAAGAACCTCACCTACTTCTGAGGACGTGGGGGCCGCGCAGGGACACCGTCGTCCCCCCCACCCGAGAGAGGGGGGAACACCATGCCGGCACGGCCAGAGCCGGCCAGGGGCAGAGCA